AAGCTCTCACGCTTCTGTAGTTACTAAAGTACAAGCAGACACACCACAGCAGAGTTTGCAAAAGAGTGATATTTTAAGTTTTAGTAATCTAGAAATCATCCACTCGCAAGAAAAATGCAAAACTACACAGTCCATTTTCCAAGCATCTTGTAAGTTCAGCTGACCTCAGGCGTAACATCACGAGCAGAGAATCCTGTTCCTCCTGTTGATATAATCACATCTGAAATTGGACTCGAAATGCACTCTCCTTTGAGCCGAACAAACGCTACAGAAAAAACACTGCTCTGCTTTTGTATGAGATCTACAACAGATTCTAAAGAGCCGAACCGGGCCTGTAACAACTGACCACTGCATTCCTGCAGATCCAGATCAGTTCTTAACTGATCTGTGAGGCGCAACACTACATAACGCGCCTCGCTAACTTGCCAAATGTGAGAATAGGGATCAGGGATTGGAATGTAACCCGCAGCAGCATTCGGTAACATTTCGCTCTTGCATAAAAATCAGAAAATCGATCAGACAAAAATGTGTGAGGAGCGCAGACCTAAGGTCGTCAAGTTTAGTAAGCTGCATCGGAAATAGAGTACAAAGCCATAACAATCCGTCTATTTCGTAAAGCACTATCGTTCAGAACCATTCAAAATATGCTGCACTTGGACTGAAGCAAGAGGCAAATCTGCGGCCAGTGGACTACATGAAAAGCCTCAAACGCTTTGAAAGATGAAGTCGCAAATGGGCAATATGTTTACCAAACGTTTTGCATAAACCGATGAGGATCTCTTCAATTTGCTGCTGCTCGTCTGCAACTTCATAGTTCTCCACAGATGAGCCCGAAAGGCTGAAATTCAGTGGACGCTTACTGAAGTCAACAAAACGTGTCATCTTTTCATTTGGCCGCCAACTTTTCATTGAACCCGAAAGCAGTGGTGCCTGGTCCAGGCCTTCAGAGACTTTCCACCACCGACATCCCGAAAGCAGCTGTTGCTCGCATCAGTAGCGTTCACAAGGCAAACGGTGGACTCCTCCGACCTGACAGCAGCCGAGACGCGATCGCAGCGTAATCAAGCGAGCAGCTCACTGCGACGACATGCACCGGAAAAGCAGTTTCAAAAACAATTCACTAACGTGGCTGAACGGAGAATCAGCTGACGAAGAGCTTGGCCACTGATATCTTTGCTCAGCCCTTTCGAGACCGAATCACTTACTGCAATCAAGTATAATGTTATGCCACCTTAACGCTTTACTGAACTAACGCCCTGTATCGAATTTTGGGATCCAATTACGCATCTTGTCGTCTTGTTAGCCTTCGGTCTCATCAGCCCTCTATCCACAGAAACCTGAAATGCCCCATGCAGATCTGAGCCGTCAGATGCTTCCATGCAACTGATGAAACAGGCAAGGAGTGCAGAGCCGCTTCCCATCATCTCATACTCAGGCTGACAGGCA